GGAATAGAAATACAACGGTATGGAGGATGAGCCATTAACACATAAATAGGTTCAACTTGGGACAACGCAACAAGCAGAACACATAAGAAGGTTGGGAAATTTTGATGGGGGGCAAAAGATTGGTGAAGATTCACTGAAGAAGCAAAGAGAGAGAGYGGGCCMAAGGAATGGAGGAAAGGAGGAAGAGAGAGAACAGGGGATTACACCACCGGTACCTTTCCCATATGTCGGCCATGGGGAAAAATAGAGTAGAAGCGTTTCTAGTCGGATGAATTGGGGTGCTCCCGTAGTGGCTCGTTCGTTCATTTTGTTGCAGCTTGTTAAACGCCCCGACTTTTCAAAATTGGAGGTACTGGTGGTTTAAACGATGAACGGAGGAGGGGATGGAATGGACTCCAACGGAGGGAGATTGGGAGGTAAGGGAAGAAAGGAAGGATAGAGGAGGGAGAGGAGGGAATGGAAGAAAAGGAGGGAAGGAGGGAAGGAGGGATGGACCGAGAGATGGATGGAGCGAGAGGTGGATTTAAGGAGGGAGGGAGGAAAGAACGAAAGATCATGATTCATTTTGAAACATAATGATCTTTTCCGGTTATTTATTGGCTTTGAAGTCCAGCTCAAGGCTATCAACCTGGAGGGGTGGACACCCAGCCAGTGTCACTGAATGGTACAACTATGTAGCATGGCGAACATGTTCGGGGGTTTCGTGAACACCCGAACATGTTCACCCTCTTAACGTGAAAGGGGTGCTACACTGTGGTACTCAAAGAAAAATAAAAAAAGAAATTCAATAAGAATGGTACGCTCATTGTCGGTGTGCAAGTTTGGCGACACACTGGTTGGAGCAGCGCTAGCTTGGAGCAGCGCTGCTGGGGAAGAAGCAAGGATTTGGAGGAGGAAGAGGGACAGGAAAGGGGAGGAGCGCCAGAGGTACTTGCATGGCTATGGTGGCAGCCATCTTCATCACCTTGGTGGGCGCTGCAGCAGGAAGGCCCCAGCTGGGGTTGAGCCACACCAAGAAGCTTCGAGGCAGAGTCAGGCATGGCGGCCTGAGCCAGAGCAGCCAGCTGCTTTGGGTTGTCCTTTGGGCATCTGGGCAAGGCCTAGTAGTCCGCCATAGCCTCGGCCTTTGAGAGTGAAGAGTGAGGGAGGCGGTCATGGCTATGGTGGACCTCAAGTGATACCAGCAGTAGAAGAGGGATTTGGACTTTGATTATGGTTCAGCTATTCAACATTGTATTATTATTTCTTGTGTGAATGCTGGCGGGCGCTGCTGATGGCGGGTGCCTGCTGGCGGGCGCTGCTGATGGAGGGCGCTGCTGGCGAAAGCGCTGCTGCTGGTGGGCGTGGCTGCTGGCGGGCGCGTCTGCTGCAGGCAGAAGGCGGGCTGCTATTTTTGGCTATGAAGGAGGAGTGCTTGCTTTGTACTTTCCTCTAGCGGCACCACAGGCTGGTGCGCAGAGGGAAGGGGAGGTTTGTTTTCGTGAGGGAGCATACTCTCTTAACAAGGATGGTGGAGTATTTTCCGTCATGCAGAGTGGGTGCGGCGGGTTTTTGTAGTCATCAATGCCAGGAGTGCGCTCATCATGAGGCACACGTATCTTCATCATTATCAGTGGCAGGGCAGTAGCTTGTGGG